GTCAACTGCGACTTTAGTAGATTCTGGTAGGACTTGCTAGAGCCTACTTAGCCAAGCTTGTCCTGACGTATGAAGGTGAAGCAGACAACAAACGGTTGCTATGACAACCGAGCAAAGAGACTGCCGGTAACTGTTCAGTGGGAAAGACGCTGTTTTACTACAGAAACCTCACAAACGCCTCTTATACGACTTTGCATACCTCATCTATTAAATCCATTCAACATACAAGGAATTGGAAGGAGCCAGGATAGCTCAGTCGGTATAGCGACTGGCTACGGGCTGGACGACCGAGGTGTCGGAGTTCGAGTCCCGGTGGAGGCAAGAATTTTCACTTCTCCATGTCGTCCAGACCGACTCTGGGGTCCACCCAACTTCATATTCAATGGGTATCGGGAGCTCTTTCCCCGGGGGTAAAGCGGGCGGGACGTGAAGCTCACCACTCACCTCCAAACTGTGCCTAGGTCAAGAGAATGTGGATCTATACATCCAATCCCCCATACGCCTTCATGGAGTAGTGCTTAGTTAATTAAGCACAGGTACAACTTTACCTTTTACAGAGATGGAACTTGACTAAGACGGAGCAGGTTGGCGTGGCGGTAACACTAACGCTCCGAACTGGCCGCGCCATAGCTCAAGCGGTTAGTCGCTGGGTTCCCACCGCGGCGGCCCGGGTTCGAACCCGGGTCTGGTCAAGTGGGATTTGTGGTGGACAAAGTGGCGCTGGGGCAGGTTTTCTCCGATCTGCCAATCTTCATTCATCATCATAATCACCCGGGGCAGGTATAATAGGCCAATCAGTGGCCGACGTGCCGAGTGGACCCAGCTGGACTTCATCCCCCACCCTCCAGTAAACGAATTTAAAAGAAAAAATATTGTGATCAAGAAAACTGAAAGGAAGAAACCACTTCAATGATCTACACATAGATGGAATTGTCTAAAAATTACAGATAGGCGACAACAATTCCAGCTACATCTTTAGATATCGTTACGTCATAATCTGACGTCATGTAAGCTTTGCTATTCAAAATTTTGTTAAATAAACAAAGAATGAAAATGGAGTTGGTTTCTTCTCCTTTGAACTACATAAAGGTTGAACTAAATGCAGTGATAAGGGATAGGCTTATACAATGGGCCCTCAGCATAACTACCCCTTCCTTCAACATGAAGACGGAAATACAGCCGCCTTCCGAAACATCAACTACGTTTACTATTCAGTGACAAAGACCATAGAATCATTGAACGCGACGTCATGTAGTCCGATAGAAGTTTACCGCTGTTTCGGAGAAACTTCCGACCTCCATCATCAAGGTCGAAGAAGCAACCAGCAAGAAGCAAGAAATAAGTTTTGGTTTCCTAGCTCTTCTAACTGCTTGCTTACTCTTCGACTCTGAAGATGGAGGCAGTACGTTCCTCCGAAAAGTCGATAAACTTCCACAAGACAACACGGCGTCACATCTCTTTATAGACACCGCAATGACAACCCCAAGACCAACCATTCAGGAGCGTTCAGCTCTTTCATATTAAATTAATGTTCATGTATAGTCGGGAACATACACAAGCCTAACCTATAAACTGAAAACTATAAGAAATACGGGTATGTTCTCAGCATTTGACCTGTAAACAGCAACAATAAACACACCCCTTAACTTCTTTTGTGGGAACATAGTAGGCACAAGCCGGAAGGTAGCGCGATCGATTCCCGATGATATCATTTGATTTTTCAACTTACTGCCTGGGACTGAGGAAAACTAAGAAAAAACTCAGCGCGCTAGGTCTCCGAGTCATCGAGTTCTGAAATTGCAACCTCTCAGTAGGAAGCATGGGAGCGCGACGGTGGTGCTATCTACTTTTAGTATACTTTCTTATTTCGAAGAAATGGAAGTAGACTTATGGGACACGCGGTAGAATAGTTGGTTGAGGCACTATGTTACGAGCCAGAAGATGGCGGGTTCGATTCCTGATTAGGCCATTGGATTTATTTGATTTACCTAATCCTACCAGCCGCACTATGGCCCTGGGGTCGACTCAGCTTCTAACAGAAATGAGTACCAGGAATCTTCCTGGGGGTAAAGGGCGGCCGGCGCGTAAGGCTGAGAACCTCAACGCCATCTGTGAGCCGATTGTCTAGAAAATGTGGAAGCCTCGACGTCTCACACACCTGTGGGCCTCTATGGTCTGTTACAGGGAGAGAAGTACCTTTTTTGTCCTTTACCTTTTCCTTTTGCACGCAGGAGGGAGGCCCCTGAAATAGGTTTACTTGTTATCATATTTCCGTTGCAAACAATACATAACGGCCGACAAAAACCCGTGTTACTGCTGTACAGTACATGCTGTGAGAGGATATGGTTGTTGAAGTAGTTAACGTTTAATTCAACAGATGGCACGAGAATATATAAAAATTAAAACTGATAGACGTTATGAATCATCTTCCATAATACGACAGAACGACAATGCGCCAGTCTTTGTTATTGTAATTAAATGAAGCTAAGATAACTGAATTGATTTAAAAAATTACTGTAACTCTGTTGCATGAGGCACTCGGTAGCGTAGTTGGTTGAGGCACTACGCTACAAGCCGGAAGGTCGCGGGTTCAAGTCCCGATGAGGTCACTGCATTTTTTTTTTTCAATTCTCCTAATCCTTCCAGCCGCACTACAGCCCTGGGGCCGACTCAACCTCTAACAGAAATGAGTACCAGGAATATTCTTGGGGCTAAAGGGCGGCCGGGGCGTAAGGCTGACAGCTGCAACGCCATCTGTGAGCCGATTGTCTGGATAATGTGGGACCCTCAACGTCTCACAACCCTATGGGCCTCCACGGCCTGGTAGAGGGATAGCTTTACTTTTACTTTACTTTTACTTTGCTGTATACTCACGGAGACCGACAGTAATATGAAGTAAAAAGGTAAAATTTTCCCTTGCTTAATTAATTAATTAACTTATTAAGCACAATGCCATGAAGATAAATGCGGGATTTGAGGATTTTCTCTGCCGTTCTTGACCTTGGCACTAGATGGAGGTAAGTAATCAGCTTCACGCTCCGGCCGCGTTACCCACGAGGAAAGAGTCCCCTGTACCCCTTTGGATAAGAGGCTGGGTTGGTCCCAGAGCTGGTTTTGACGCTTTGGAGAAGAGAGAAATCTTGCACCTACCGGGACTCGAACCCCGACCCTTAGATCGTCCAAGCCCGTAGCCGGTTGCTATACCGACACCCTATGCCCGGTTCATTATTATTATTATTATTATTATTATTATAAACATATCAAAAAATAAAGCTGTCTCTCTGCTTAACTGAGCAATACACTCTGAGGAAGCGGAGGTATAGTTCCACATATTCCGGCTGCTTCACCCTCGGGAACCCTTGTGTAGGAGCCTGGGTGGGACCCACATTCAGTCTTTGACGATACGGACAAGAGAAATATATCTTACCTCTTGCGGGAACGAACCCCCAGTTCCTTGATCGTGCACCCTGTAATTTTATTCACATTTTCTGCTACTTAGTCCGTTATTCCTGTATAATGTTTGGCCTGTCACTCTTGTCTCCGCGCTTTCAAGCCTGTTTCCCCAACTGCCGTCTCTAGACGGAATTCGCAGAAGAGATTTATGGTCTTGTTCATAAAGTTTTATAACTGGTGATTCAACTCCTTTATAGCCATCAATCATAGCCTCAATAGACGGCAGTATTCTATTACTTTCATATCTGTTCTGCTGATATCCCCGCCCCCTGCGTGGGCGAAACAGGGATAGTACGGAGCCCATATCTGTTCCTCAATTGCAGAAAACCACTGCACTGCACGTTACTCGTACTTATACGGTATACAAGTTTCTCTCTCATCCCTCGCACTATGAAGATCCGTGCTTCGAAACTTGGACCAGACTCGGGAAATTCCTCACACACGCCTACATAGAGACACGGGACGCAAACAAGCGAGCACATTGGCGCTTCTGACTTGTATTCGAGAGGTATCTGGTTCGTAGCTCGGTCAAGGCACCAACTATTCTGACAAAGGCTTCTCTTGTTGTTTTCCTCACTCCTCGTCAGCAAATTCCGGGACAGTACCTCAAATTACACCTTGTCCACATCTTTTGTTGCGATAGCGCAGCCGGGGTAGCAACTGGATACTGGCTGAACGACCGAGGGGTCGGAGTTCGAGTCCCGGTATGGTCAAGAATTGTCTCCTCCTATCCAATGGGTACGGGGGCTCTCTCCCTGGGGTTAAAGCAGCAGGGGCGTGAACCTGACCATTCTTCTCCAGCTAGTGCCGAGGTCAAGAAAATGTGGATCTATACATCCACTCCCACATAAGCCTTCATGGCGTAGTGCTTAATTAGTTGAGCAAAGAGACAACTTCATCTTTTTTTTACTACATCATTTCAAATTCATTGTTCACTAAACATACCACCATTCGACGCCATAACTTGTGGTCTGACCTAATGACAGCTTCACTACAAAGGTAAAGTTATCCCTATGCTTAGCTAATTAAGCACTATGCCGTGAAGACGTCTGGGCATGTGGATGTATAGATCCACATTTTCTTGACCTCGGCATTAGTTGGAGGCGAATGATCAGCTTCACGCTCATGACGCTTTACCACCGGGGATATAGCCCCCGGTACCCGTTGGCTACGAGGTTGGGTGGACCCCAGAGCCGGTATGGACGACATGGAGAAGTGAAAATTCTTTCCTCACACCAGGACTCGAACTCCAACCCCCTCAGTCGTCCAGCCAGTAGCCAGTCACTACACCGACTGTGCTATCCCGGCTCTGACACCGTCACTACATAATCCTTTATTAAACAGTAGCTTTAATTGTGATTCGTCGAGGTTAATCATATATCACGAAGCCGTCTCTTCATATTGAAGCATTTCTTTAGAAGTGTTTCAAGTTGGTAGCCTCTAATAAAGCCCATGTGCTATGATCTCCCCTCTAGTGGAATCTTATCACCCTGATTGCCCCCCCACAGACTGTTATCAATCTCCAATCATGACAGGTATGCATTCAGTTCACAGCAAGAGGGCCTCTGTGCTGCGTGTGTTCTGTGTAACAAGAAGAACGACGTAGCAAGAAAACTGTCACGTAAGTTTGAAAACATCTTCCATATCGAAAAGTTTATTTCACAGTGTTCATTCCTTGTAAGACTAAGGAAGAAAATACAGTGTGCGTTCGGAAAGCCGCTTTACGCTCAGTTTAGAGTACATTGCAGCGCGGTAATTACCCTGTTGGTTGTCACTATGTAAGCTGACGCTGAAGTGTGCTGTTGTTGCGTGACATTTCATTGTATTTGTTCAACAGCGGTTGAAGTGCAACACCGGTGATGTGTTCAATTGTTTAATTCAATTTTTACTCATATGATTTTCAATTAGGGTGCGTATTTTTTCCTTGTCGAATGCATCTTTCGAGAAGGCAATAGATACACCAATTGAACTCAGGTAATGCTTGCTGCCATTCAGTCCAGAACATTTTGTCTTCTCGTCTGCTGCCTAAAACCATAAATTTTAGAATGTACAAAACTATAATTTTGTCTGTGGTTCTGTATGGGTGTGAAACTTTTTCTCAGACAAATCCACAAAATGATGTAAAACACGAGTTAATATATATTATAGGTTTCACAAATTAATGTCATCCTTTAATTTAACTTCGTGGCTTTAGTCCGCAAGCGAACTATACTGACCGAGCGACCGCCGCTTGTCGGCGAAGTTAGTGCCAACTTTAGCGGATAGAGGGTGTCGCGTGGTCAGCGCAACGGATCCTCACGGCCGTTAATTTCGGTTTTCTAGACCGAAAATGCCAGCATTTACGAAATAAATAACAAATTTACGTCTGTAAATGGGGGCACGAGGCAGCGTAGTCGTTTGAGGTTCTATGCTATGAGTCGTAAGGTCGCGGGTTCGATTCCCGATGAGCTTTTTGGATTGTTTCCATTTACCTAATCCTTCCAGCCGCACTGTGGCCCTGGTGTCGACTCAGCCTCTAACAGAAATGAGTACCAGGAACCTTCCTGGGGGTTAAAGGGCCGGCGCTTAAGGCTGACAACCTTACCGCCATCTGTGAGCCGATTGTCTAGAAAATGTGGGAGCCTCGACGTCTCTCAACTCTATGGGCCTCCACGGCCTGATAGAGAGATAGCTTTGCCTTTTTTATTTACGTATGTAAATAATTTTAATACTCATAGTAAAGCTTCGTCAAATATGTTTTAGACAGAATTTGGATGTAATACATGAAGCATAAGTTTATATAACGTAAATAGAATAATCTCACTTTCTTTATCTTGTGCTGAAGTATAGCTCTGTTCGGCAGTATGTCAACATAATCTTATCAACAAGTCAAGGAATCGTGATTGAGTGACACAGAAATAACATAATTATCAATCAGTCCTCACACTTTCATCTGGAGCCCAGCCACGACAAATTCATTATTCATTAGACATCCTGCCATTCGAAGCTCAGTCTGAAATAAGCCACAAAACGATTCACGCTCCGACAAATTTATCCCGGGATAAACAGCCTCCTGCACCAATGGGTAGAAAGCAAGGATGCAAGTTTATTACGCAATAAGAGCGGTGTATGTAATTCCAAAATTATAAAAATGTGAAGTCCCTGTACGCCGGTCACGGTAGCCGAGCGGTCTAAGGCATGTACTGTCTTCGCTCGCTTGGAAACCGGGATCGTGGGTTCGGATCTCTTTCCTGTGAGGTACGAACTGAATTCTTATATATTATTCTTATACATTGCCGGTCACAGTAGCCGAGCGGTCTAAGGCATGTACTGTCTTCGCTCGCTTGGAAACCAGGATCGTGGGTTCGAATCCCACTCAGGGCATGGATGTTTAGTTTGTGTGTGTGCGTTTTTTTGTTTGTGTACAGGTAGAGGTCTTGTGACGAGCTGATCACCCGCCCAAGGAGTCCTACCGAATGTGTAAGATCTAGAAAAACCGAAGTGAACGGAGAAGTTCATGGAGGCAGGCCTAGGCCCACTTAGGCCGTAGTGCCAAGGGAAAAAAAAGTCCCTGTACTTCACTAATTAATCACTACGCCATGAAGGAGTGCGGGCACGCGGCATCTATCTAGAGAGAATATGGGAGCCTCGACGTGGCACAACCCTATGGGCCTTCAAGGCCTGTTACAAGGATATCTTTACCTTTCACCTTTACAACAGGCTCACCATTATCTTCGAAACTCGTACGTTTCATTTTAACATCTTTCGATCCTCAGTTCCTTAGGTTCATACCCCGGGAAGCGGCATCACAAGCAGCTGTCTGTATAACACAAGCTTTAAAAAAATATACCGTATATCTCCTTGCTTGTTTTGTCTCTTTTTCTATTTTGTTTCTGATTCTCTTTCCATCTCTTCTTATTGTTCCTTTATTTCGTGCTTCGTTTCTCCCTTATTTCTTTCTTGTATTGTTTCTTTTTTCCATTTTGTCTACATGTTTTAAAAATTTTCTGACTTAATTTCTCTCTTAACTGTCCATTTGCCTTTTTTTCCCCTCTAATTTTCTTTACTGCTGCTTTTCTCACACTTTTTTTTTACATCTTCCGTTCCTTCCTCCTTCTCTCTTTCTTGGTTAATTTTCATTGTCTTTCTTATCGATACTTCATTTCTCCCTCTCTGTTTTATTTCAGACTTTCTCCTTCTTTCATCATTGTACTTTTGTCTCTGTATTTTCCTTTATTCCCTTACTTCTCTCTCTCTTTCTGTCTACGTCCTTCTTCCGTTCCTGTATACCTTTCTTCCCCCTTCATCTCTTTCATTTATTCAAGTTTCTTCCGTTCCTCTCCGCGAAGTTGGAACTTAGCTGCAGCGGAAAGCGGATGTATCTCCAGGAGACTTAGAGAGGGGGAGGCGTGGGGTGAGGAGCGTTTGTCTGCGCACTATCAGCTGCGTAGTGTTAATCTGCTCCCGTTCCGACACTAACTTACTGACAACTTTATCGACGAAGCGTTCTGAATGAGATACCACATTCACACGCACGCACATACACACATGTACTATATATAATACATAAAACATCCGAACAAGAAAGCTGTGAAACAGAAATCAGAAAATACACAAACCTCTCCCCCCATTTTTCGATGCCACCTAAATAATGGGAACCGTGTTTACAGAGGGCCTAGCAGAAAGTTTCGTGGTGATAGTAGCGGTATGTTAACATGGCCATGTAACTCCATCTATCCTTCTACACGACTTGTAAACAAACATATCAAGACATTGTTTGTTCTGTTTGGAATATTCTTGTCCCTTACTGACTCAATACTGCTCACAGTGCCGTCCGCTCTACGCAGTTTCCTTCTCTCGACTAGGAATGCGCAGGACAAGCACGCAGCCTTCATTATCAACTCCCAACATGGTTCCGTTCTGCGAACCGGAATAGCTCAGTCACAGGAGTAAGGATTTATACCTTCTCTAAGTATACAAACTTGAGCAGCTCAGTCGGTACAGGCACTAAGCTACTATCCCATTGACAGAAGAATCGTAATTGCGTTCCCCGGCAGATTAGGAGATTTCTTCCAGCTCTGAAGCCCGTTCAGCACTCTATCGAACAGATCCCGAAGATATTTTCCTTGGTGGTAAAACGGCCGGAGTGTGAAGCTCACAATTCATCTCCATCAAGTGCGGAGTTTAAGAATACGCGCTGATACGAGGCCTGACAATAAAGTTCGCGAACTCACCACCGTGTGCTTGCCGTAGCAGCAGTGGACATAAACCTCAATGGTTTAATGGCGTTGGCATATCGACGTTTCACAGCTGTGTTGTTGTTGATCTACGGCAGTCCCTTTCTGAGTGGCGTCTATTAATGTCCGAGTGTGTTTTGGTGTGCCGTCGTGAGAATTTTGGAACGAACATTAAATTTCTTGTGAAACTTGGCAGGAATGGAAGCGAAATCAGAGAGATGTTAGTGCAAGTTTATGGGGATAATGCTGAGAAAGTGTCACTGACGAAGAGAGATCAGAACGGCCAGCAACGAGCAGAACTGAAGAAAACGCTGCAAAAGTTCGTCAAATTGTGAGCGAAAATCGTCGGCCGGCTGTCAGAAACATGGCAGAGCAAGCGAACACCGACAGAGAAACGGTTGGGAAAATCTTAACTGAAGATCTTGACATGAGGAAGGTGTGTGCAGAAATGGTCCCAAAGGACCTGCTCACGCGGCACCGTCTGTGAGGGAGTTCTTAGCTAGTAAACAAATACCTGTGCTGGAACACCCTCCCTATTCACCGGATCTAGCCTCCAATGACATTTTTCTTTCCCGAAGATAAAGGAAATATTGAAAGAAAGTCATATTGATGACGTTGATGACATCATGAGTAATAAGACGGCAGTTCTAAAGGTCATTCTCCAAAACTAGTTCCAAAATTGTTTTGAAGGGTGGTCTAGGCGCTGGCATCGGTGCATAGCTTCCCAAAGGGAGTACACTTGGTTGTCGACTTACGACCGACTTCCGCTCTGACTGACAGGTCGTAAGTCGACCTGGTCGCATGTCGGCCATATATTTATCATCAGTATTTTTTAACCTTTCTAATCTTTTTATCATCTTTATAATTTATTTTTAAAACTTTTACATTTTAATCATCTTTTATTTGTTTTTTGTTTTTTTTTGTGGTCGTAAGTCGACGACCAAGTGTACTTTGAAGGCGACCACAGTGATATTCAGCAATGATGCACTTCCACCGCGACGAGTTCGAGAACTTTATTGTCAGACCACGTACACCTGCACTCCAACATACAGCTTCATGACGTGGTGCTTATTGAGCTCAGGGACCAATTTGTATTTGCATTTTTGCGTAGAATATCCAGACCGGCGGGAGCCGCGACAGCTTAGTCGGTATAGCGACTGGATACGGACTGGACGGCCGAAGGGTTGGAGATCGAGGGGTAAGGCTTTCCTCCTCTCCTCTCCAGACCGGTTCTGGGGTCAATCCACCTTCCTATCGAATGGGTACCGCGCCCGGGGCGTGAAACTGACCTATCACATCCAAATAGCCCTGACGTCAAGAATACGTGGATATAAACGTTTACTCTCCCATGTGTCTTCATGGCGTAGTGCGTATTGTAAAGTACAGGGATAACTTTATCTTTTAA